ACCACCGTCAACAACAACTACAACAGCAACAACCAAAACAGCAACTGCACCACCATCAACAACAACTACAACAGCAACAACCAAAACAACAAATACAACAGCAACAACAAATACAACAGCAACAACCAAAATAACTACTATAACCACAGCAACAATGCCAACCAGTAAGTAGCAAGCTAAATGATTCATCTATTTTATAGCTGTCAGAAAGAGAATTCGTTCGACATCACCTACTATAAAGTGTATTGAAAACTCCAAACTATTGCATATTTATATGGCCAGAGTGCATTTAGCTGTAAAACAACTTCCCGGGACAAAAAATAACCTTTACACCGTCGATATAATCTTAGCACACGAAGTCGTAAAACAAATCTACTGACTACCGATCAATGGAATACTTTATCAAGATTTAACGATCAATCAGGGCAAAGACCTATGGAGGGTGTGGGAGTGAGTGTCGGTGTGAGTGGGTGCGGGTATAGGTGCCAGTGTGTCTGGAAATGTAAACTTTTCTCACCCATACTCACACCCTCACCCACACCTACAACCACACTCACACCCACACCCATACCTATGCCCGCACCCACACCCACTCACACTCACACCCACACCCACACCACACCACACCCACACCCACACCCACACCCACCCTCAAGATGAACAGATTTAAGAGAGAAAAAATACGGATATCGGTTCACACAGATCCCAGGTCACCAATGATGGTTTATATATGATTTTTCGCTTTTTTATAACTGCCATCTGTTGCGTATTAATTCATTTTCAAATTAAATACGTTGTAATTCGTTTGCACATTCATTTCTCATAATAGTAACTCACATTTTCTGTACAAATTGTTAAATTTTCACTGTTTTTTGATAAAAACTAATATGAGTCAATCCGTTTTTTACGCATCATGCGTTCTTATATTGCCTCTACAAGAAGCGATAAGTCTCTAGAGAAAAGAATATTTGGAAATTGATAATAGATAAATAAATACCTTACGTAAAGCAAAACCATCACTTTTTGTAATTTTTATGGGGATGGATCACGCGAATCTCAGGACACTGTTGAGGTTATAAAATGAGGACGGTAACCGATGTTAATGTTCGACTATATATGTATGTCAGTTCGATATATTTGAATGAGAACACAAGAACACTAACTAATATAATCGAAGAAATGAAAAGAAGAACAACAGAGAGAGAGGAAACTCCATGTATATATATGTATCAAATAATATATATACGCAATAACATATATACGCAGTAACCGATAGTGTGACCATCGATCACGCACTAAGATGATGGAGTTGAAGAGAAGATGAAATGAAGAGAAGAGAAAGAGAAAAGAGAAGAAGTAGGTCAAAGTGAACTAAAGGAAAATATACTAATGTTCTATAACACCAACAACCGAGAGTTAATGGATGATTTATCAGTGATTGATGGAAAATTCTATTCTACTATGCTTTTCTAAGATCGTCATGGTATTCGAGCATTGTATAGGCCTAGGCTTTCACCGCGATAGTGCTGAGTAGAACTTTCTGATCAGCTAGCCAAACAAACGCATGAAAATTTAACCGAAGAGTATTGCAAAGATGGTACAGCTTTGCATCTTTAAGACACACGACACGTTTCTGCGAAATAGAGATATCTACAGTGAGACTGATTAAATTTTCTCCGGTTTTCAAAAGTAGCTCTTCGCCATCGAACTGAAGGATTCAGAGGAGGTTTATGAAATCATCATTCTCGATCCATCAAAAATTATAATACTTCGACCATTTACCTTTACGAGCTTTTTCGTAACAAAACTTTGAGCAAAACCCTTATCGAATTGTAAGAATAGATAAGACAGAAGCTGCTCCACTTGACAGTTTATTTCCTATACATTTTTATCTACTTTAATAAAACGAAAACATTCGCTATAACGGGTGAGATCCATCAGTTTCTCTCCTTTCTGAAACAAACTTGTTGAGTTTCATATTTAAAACGTATCATGATTTCTCTATTGTTGTTTCTATTTTTATAACAGATCAAACCGTGATCGTCTCAAACGATGGTGAATACGTGGGACAACTCAAACACGGCAAAAAGCACGGCCGTGGAAAATTCACGTGGCTCAACGGCGATAAATACATAGGTGATTTTGTTAATGACAGCAGAACTGGTAATGGTACATTCATGTGGCCCAGTGGCAACAGGTACGAAGGAGATTTCAAAGATGGAAAAATCCACGGACATGGCACACACACGGGGTCCAATGGCAATAAATACATAGGTGATTGGGTTAATGGCAGCATAACTGGTAATGGTACATACACGTGGCCCGATGGCAACAAGTACGAAGGAGAACACAAAGACGGCAAGCAGCACGGTCGAGGTACAAGAACATGGATCAATGGCAATAAATACATAGGTGATTGGGTTAATGACACCAGAACTGGTAATGGCACATACACGTGGGGATCACAGACCCAGTGGGCAGGTGATAAATACATAGGCGATTGGGTTAATGACACCAAAACTGGTCAAGGCACATACACGTGGTCCAATGGCGATAAA